ACCCCAACAGATGGCCATACAGCCTCTGGAAAAACCTCCAAAGGAGAAGACTCCACCACTCCCCAAGGGAGTGTGTTCCACTGTCAAACAGGTTTTACTGGCAGGAAGTTCTTCATAATGATCTGGAATTGCTTTTGTAGCATGTAGAAAAGTTGCTTGCACTATCTAGTTCTATCAGTTAGGGCACATTTAGACGTTTGAATAAAACATTTTAATTAATTGCAGTGTTATGGTCGATATGTCCAAAGTAAATTTGAAGTGTTCTGATCCTGGTAGATTACAAACCAATGCATGTCATCCCATATATCCCATAAAGCCAGACTGTAGAAGAAGTAAGTGTCCGCTCCTTAGGAAATTTGAAACTTGCAGAGTGGTGACTTGGTACCCAAAGCAGACATCATCTCTTTCCCAAAATACTTACGTTTGCAATGCTGTAACTTAACTGGTAGTAGGTTCCTTTGAACCTGGTGGTGTTTATTTTTTGGGTAGACATGTATATGATTGCACTGTAACAGTCCAGCTCTGTTAATGCAACACCAGCCACTAATTTGTTTAAATATTTTAAGGTAGCGTTAGCCTCAGTGGTAAAGCTACTCTAGTTGGCCTACATAGCAAGCCATTGGGCAGCTTGATTAAAAGAGAGAGATTAGGACTCTGTAAGAGTTTAGAATACATCAGTTACATGGTTATAAATGTTATCTACTCTAGTTGCCTTGGGGTATAGTCTACTTCAATCTAGGTGAAATCACACTGAAACTGATCAAAAGATTTGGAATAACTAAAGGAGCATCACTGGCTACTTTTTTGTTGTTTTTGTTTGCCTTCAAACAAAAATATAATTGCTGGTTCCCATCTCTCTCATTATCTGGCATATTCTCCAAATAAAGTATGCTTATTATTAATAGCTGTCAATTTGACTTCAATTTATGGCAACCCTATGAATGAAAGACCTCCAAGTAACGCTATCATTAACAGCTCTGCTCAAAGTCAGGATTATGGTTTCCTTGATTCTTAAATCTATTCCCCTGCATTGGAGGCTTGAGTTATGTTCTTTCCTCCCCACAGATTTATATAAACTAGATTTTCCCTCCCATTGCCCTCCATGGACCATATAACATTTCTGCATGTTCCCACTCCCTAATGTCATTAAATCTCGGTTGAAGTGCTGGGTGGAGCTTCAGCCAAGAACCCAGATCCTCTTCCCATCACTGACCACTTTTTTCCTGAGCAAGGAAGAGAAATTAAGAGCTCAGGCTGCATTTATAAACACTGGCTGACAATGGCCAGTTGGGGGCACTACTCTCCCTCTGAAAAGATGAGAGTTCATGAAAATTCAAGTTGTTATATTAGCACAGAGAGAACAGTCTATTTCTCATTCCTGCTCTTTGTATCCTTCAAGGGGCAGGTGAGTGGGAGGGGACCTGCGAAACTCCAGGAGCCAGATGCACCCCCCTTCAGCATATGCCCAGCCACTTTCTTACAATAACATAAGTGTCCTTTAATGTCATGGACACTTGTGGTTTTAGTTCTTTTATTTTTGAAAAGATGAAATTCCTTTTTCCTCGGTTTTATATAGCAACATCAATATCAATTCATTGTTTTCTGTCCTCTGTATTCCATGAGCTCTGGACTTAGTACAATATCCATTCATTGTGACACAGAACTTCCCACTTTTTTCCAGAAACAAGGGCACTAGCCTGCAGCTTGTGAAAGGTCCATGCATTTAAATACATTTGTAAAAGGTGGAAATCACTTTGACTTACACACACACACCTTTTCTATCTGTCTCTTTGTACTTCTCTCTCCTATAGACCTTGAGAGGCTGATTCTGCAGAGCTGTGTTAGCAATAATAATGTGAATCATTTCTTCCTGCTCAATAGGAGCAGTTTATGCAAACATCCCACATACTATTCTATGACTTCATGCCATAGTTTTCTGGCTGTCTTTATATGTCACCTTGATATTTTTTTACCATTGTTAAATCTAGCACATGAAACATATTTTTATCTTTCACAGAAAAAATGTTTATATGAAACTGTTTACTGTACATTAAGCATGCCTACCACCTAGTGTATTAAGCAGTTAAGTTTCTAATTTTTGGGATTCCCCCCCCCCCAATCTAGAAAAGACCTGATGATTCCATGAGTAAAAGGGTCAATTCATATGCCAGGACATCTTTGGGTGCATTGGTATTGAGGGCACAAGAATCTTTACTCCAGTGCTCCAGCACACAGATCAGCAATGGTACTATAGAAGAAGATCCTTGGCTTTTGGAGACAGCTAGTGTCTGTGACATTGTTTCTACCAAAGCAGGTGGAAAGTCAGGTGGGGGTTCAATCAATAATTTTATTGCGGTCAATGAACATATACCCAAATTCATATGAATACATAAAATATATACATACTATGAACATAAGTAAGATACATACACCTATGGACATCAGTAAAATATGAATATAAATATAAGTCATAAAGAATATAAAATACAGTTGTCCCTCCCCCGTTCGCAGATGTTGAGTCCTCTGTTTCACTCTTCATGGGAAGGACAAGTGGAGAGGGCTAAAATGGCAGGGCATGCTTGTGCATGGCCCCCACTTGCGCCAGGGCATGTATGCCATTATTTTCAATGGGGCTTGAATATTTGCGAGCCACCATTTTTGCGGGGGGTCTGGAGCAGATCCCCTACAAATTGGGAGGGGCTACTGTTTAGACATAAAATATAACTGCATACACAAACAGTAAAAACCTCATCATTTGCTAACACCTTATTTTCATGGATCTTAACTAGCAACACAAAATTTTGCTATCTTGGTCAACATCTCTGTATACTGCCCTGACATCAACAAAAGAGTATAAAAAGCCTCTGAACAACCAGGGAATGCCTTTATACATGGTTCAACAAGAACTTCCCAAATTCCAAAATAAAAGGGACAGTGCAGAAGAACATGAATTACTGTTTCGATTTCACCAAAGTTGCAGGGACATTTACGTTGATAGTATGGAGTCTTTTTAAGTTTCCCTTCTTGTATTGCTGATGGCAAAGCATTTAATCGAGCAAGAGCAAAGGCTTTACGTTGATTTGATATTGTAAGTAAATGGAGATATCTGGTTTAAAGGGTATCAGTGCTGTGTCAATTAATACATTGTTTGAGTTTACCCCTAGATCATGCTGCCTCTCCACATCCATAATTCATCTGAGGGCTCAACTAGCTATGTCAAATGCCACATGCAAAAACCATAAAATCTGAGTTTAGCAAGTATGGCTTTTTTCCAGACTGATTGGAAATTATCTTGAAATACTAAAGGGAATAAACCACTTTGCTGAAAACCTAATTTCAGCCAAAAAAATTAAAAATAGCTAACCAAGCCCCAGCTTCGACTTTCAGGAAACTCATCTCCAGCCTCAGACCCAATGTTGTACTTGCAAGATAGCCCTCAGGCATTTTGATTGAACTACATCCAAGGTAGTACAAGAGAAGTAAGGGCCTAATTGAGCACCATAGAGTAGTTGACTGAGGGGTTTGGCCTGAAACAACCTTAAGGCAGCTGAAACATATTGCTCTCCTTTAGTATAAAATAATTTTTGTATTATAGATGTAAGTTTCTGTGCAAGTTCTGCAACATATTCTGCATGTGCCTTACAATTTCTGTTAGACTGGAATACGACACCAAGATACTTAAAGGTCCTTACTTGTTCAATCCTATGACCATTTAGCATCCATTTATACAGTTTTGATCTTTTTGCAAACACCTTAACTTTGGTTT